GATCTATTCGCCTCGGGGGGTGTTGCATTTTAGCATCCTCCAGTTCTGGAAAAGCACAGTTTGACCTGACTCAGATAGACATCTAAAGTAACGAGATCCTGCGGGAGGCCACCGCTGAGACTCACTGGAAGAAAGACGTTGGCGGCAGGAGTTTTTGGAGGCGAAAGGCCACTTCCTCAGATGCACCTGTAGAAAGGGCCGGAAAGCTCCTGCTGCCGACGTCTTTCTTCCAGTGAGTCTCCAAGGTGCACCAGGATCTCTCCACATACTGATCCTACAGACTGACACGGCTATATCTTTGAATTCTACCATTATGGGCATCTAATGTGATTCTTAAATTCTGTAAAAGGCATCTCCTTCTATTGGTCTACATGCTGTAAATACGTAAATGCTAATTATACTTAGGGGTTTGCTCAGAGGAAGTTTCCCCTGGCCTCCCCCTGAGGAGGTTGAGAGAGTGTGACTCACCCAAGGTTCCCCCCCCCCCAGTGGGTTTCATGGCCAAGCAGGGAATTGAACCCTGGTCTCCAGAGTCGTAGCCCAAAGCTCAAACTACTAGGCCACTCTAGCTCTCTTAAGTCAGAAAGGTGGAACAGGAGCATGTCAAAAGGGATCCTCTCTCGTCACCATCAACACCCTGGGGCTGCAACCATACTGCAGAAATAATCCAGTTTGACACCACTTTCACTCCACGGCTCCATGCTATGGAATTCTGGGAGTGGTAGTATGTTGTAGCAGAGCTCTGGTGCCACAACAAATTACCATTTCCAGATTTCCATAGCATGGAACCGTGGCAGTTAAACCAGGTTATTTGTCCAGTGCGGATGCATCAAAAGAACCTGAAAGTGCATCTGCATTGTAGAAATGATGCAGTCTGACACTGCTTGAACTGCCATGGCTCCATCCTACAGAATCCAGGGATTGGTAATGTGGTGAGGTAGCACCAAGCCTCTTTGGCAGGGAACATGCATGTCCCTGTCAGACTACAAATCCCAAGATGCCATAGGATGGAGAAAGTGGTCTCAAACTGTGTTATTTCTACAGTGTGGATGGAGTCAGAGTCCCTCTAAGGAGTCTCCAGAAGGGTACCAGGGTGTCCTCAATGTTTGTCTATTTGTACTCCCCCAACAACAATAACAAAACCTTCTATCTTTTTTCTAAGATCTGAGGCCTCTCAGGGAGGTGGGCAATAAAGAACAATACTTTCTCTAGAAAAAGAATGCTTTCTCTGAACAGGTATGTTTCCCCTGGGCTTCACAGCCGCTTTTGCTGAGGTGGCACACGCTATCAGTCCTCTTCCCTCTGTCTGGTTTTTCTCCTCCACCTGGGAATTCCTCTTATTAACTACCTGATGAAATTTTGGTTCCTATTCCCCCAGGGCCAGGCTGTTTCCATCAGTCAGAAAAAGATGACTGAAGCCTGACAGGAGCCCAGACTCCTGGAAGTGGCTCTGCAAATGGAAGGATGGGAAGGGAAAGGAGAGGAAAAGGCCATCAAGGGGGCTGTAAAGAAATATAGAAAAAGAGTAGAGAGCATAGATATCGACCAACCATGAATTTATGAGACTAAATTGCAGCAGAGCTCAGATAAGTTGTCGGGTGAGGACTACAACTCCCAGAATTCGCCAGTCAACCCTGCTGGCTGGGGAAGTGTGGAGGTTGTAGTCCTCCCATTACATTTTTAAACTCAGGAATGTGGGTCAAATAAATGGAGAAACTGGTGCAGCATGAAGCAGTGTCTCAGTTGCAAAGCTGTCTTAGGAGTTTATCACATGGGGGGATTGGGACTTTAAACAGTGATGAACCTGAGAAATTTGTGCAATTGACATTAAAACGTGATTGAAATTAGATTAACACAAGAGCCATTGTCCTGTG